GGAAGAAGCAGCAGAGGAGGGGTTAGATGATGGGGGCAATGATGTAGAAGAAGATGTTGACGGGGAGGGTGGTGGGGATGCCGGTGGCGATGGTGGCGGGGGTACTGGTGGTGGTGGCGGTGCCGGGGGAGGAGGTTGAGGTGGTGATGATGGTGGTGGTGGTGGTGGTGATGGCGACAGTAGTGGGGGAGGCACCATTTCGGCAACAATAGCCGCATTGTTAGGATGCTGGCCTTCATCGCCTACAGCAACCTCAGCAGCGTATACGTTGCTTGTCGTTGTTGGACCATTCTCTGGCTGGGCTGGCGTATCCACATTGGCATTTGCCAGTTCAGCAGGAGTAACAGGAGGGGGTAGATCCGCTGTGTCGTGTTGTGTGGAGGGCTGATGTCGCCTGCAGTCATAATTGGTGTTCGGGAGTGGGTGGTGGTCTGCTGCATGGGGTCGAGAGGAGGCTCTGTACGCCGAGTGTGCATCCGGCAGTGGGTGAGCGATAGCCCAGCGCACCATACGACGAAACCAGTTCGAGAGCCATGTGACATGAGTGGGTAGTCGGCGCTGCCAGCCACGCACATATGTCGTCCAGCCTTTGGCCAGGACACTAGGGGGATGGCCCCTTGAAAGCATACGTCGCGTCAAGGAGGTCAATGCCACTTTGAAGTCGGTAGTATTATTACAAATATGTTCGAACCTCGTTAGTTGTCCTGTAAGTACACCTGCAGGCTGATGAGCTGGGATATTGGAGGACGCACTGGGATAACGTATGACAGGGAATGTCCAGGCCTCGGCCTTATCAAATACACCTATGCGAAGCGAGCCATCTGACCGCACTTGGATTCTTGCCCCAAGGAAAAGACATGAGCCATCTTGCTCAGTAGTGTCTTTCCACTCAAGCCCATACCGAGCAGGNATCTGACCGCACTTGGATTCTTGCCCCAAGGAAAAGACATGAGCCATCTTGCTCAGTAGTGTCTTTCCACTCAAGCCCATACCGAGCAGGAGGGGGTGGGGATGTCTGCCAGGATAGAATGTCATCGATGAACCGATATGTGAATGCATATGCTTGCGCCGCTCGCAGGTCTTGCTGACGAAGTTCATCAACGAACTGTGCTTCATCCCAATAGAGCGTAAGATTGGCAATCTCTGGACCAGCATTAGTGCCCATAGGAATACCGACCACTTGATGGCGGAGAGTGCCGTCTGTTGTATACAGATAAGTATTTGAGACCACAAACCGCAGATGATGTTCAATTTGTTGTGCTGAAAGAGTGTCTGTGCTATTTGAAGTAACCCATTCCCCGCGACGAGGCCCTCCTACAGTCATGTACATCTCTCTTGGCCTTCTGTCCTGTGGGATCAACATCAGAGCATAGTCATGTGCTTCACGAACAGCATTTAGGACATTATTGAGTATCCGGTCGTGCAGCAGGTTTGTGTACATTGTTGTAAAGTACGCTGTGTGTGGCGTAGAACCTCGGAGGGACTGTGCATTCTTCTTGAGATCCAGAATGACTTCCTCAGCAGTTTGTACGATCCAGCAACGTCGCACATCACTTTCTCGGTAAAGCTCATTGTCCTTGCTGCGCAAAGATTTGATCACACCTTGAAGGGCAAAGCTCATTGTACTTGCTAAGGGCTTGCGAGGGGGCCTGTTATGCAGGTCTGAGACGGAGGGTCGACGGGATGTTGAACGGGGGGCAGATTGGGAAAGATTGTTTCGTTGTGTAACTGAATTGGACGAAGAGCGGGTGGGGATTTATGTGCTTTGAGTGCAAAATAGAGATAAGGTAGGGTATCAGTATGTCGATAGCCCCAGTGTGTGTGTGTGTGCGTGCGTGAGTGCGTGTGTGCGTCCATGCGTGCTTGTGTGCGTGCGTGTGTGAGTGTGTGTGTGTGCGTGCGCGTGCATGTGTGTGTGCGAGTACGAGTGTGTCCAACGTAGAGCGAAGTCGTAACGTAGAGCGAAGTCGTAGTAGTGCATAGCAGCGTAGAAGTCAGCCGAGTAGCTTGAGTGTCGAAAACAGGCGTCGACTCTAGAGTAGCGCCAGCGTCGACTCTAGAGTAGCTCAGTCTAGTAGCTTGAGTGTCAAAAACAGGCGTCGACTCTAGAGTAGCGCCGGCGTCGACTCTAGAGTAGCACAGAGTAGCGTAGAGTAGCTCAGTCGAGTAGCTTGAGTGAAAACA